ATATTTGTCAGGAGGTCCAAGGCCTTCTAGCATGTTGAGAGGAGCATAGTAGCAAGATTTGATTCACGTTGGGGTGAGCCAAGCATGACTGCACCTCATACATACACAAGGGGGTTTTACGTCAAAATTTAGTTCAGGGGTGAGGGTCTAGGAAGCTAGAGTTTTAGAACTGTCGGCGCAGTGCTTTTGGTGTTCTATCTAGGGAGGGTTGGTGGAAACTTACCGATCACGGCCCAATTACGCTTCATGCCTCGCCAGAAAGCGCACACTTTCTTGCTCTTCCTGTGCAGCATGGGTGTGTGTGTGTGAAGAATATTCATTCAGAATCCGAGCGGGAGTCAAGGCTGTTCCAGCACCACTCGGGTCATTTTGACCATGCGACGCAAAAGCCTTGGGAACATCAGCGACTTGGTCGCTGACCAAGGCTGCTTCGCTCTGCTGTCGGCAAGTCGGGTACTCACGTTTTCCAGGAGCCCGAGTAAAAGCCAAGAAGTTGGAACATGACAATGAGGCGATTGATGATGGCTGTCTGCATCTTCCAATTTTGGTGTTTGGGGGGGCGGCCGTGAATTCCAACCTTTTGGATTCTACTTTAACTTGCGGTCCTGCCGCTCGACCTGGCGACCGGGATCTCCGCTAAATGGCAGAAACACACGGCACGGACTCGACTTTGCTTCCCTTCTTTCCTCGCAGCCTCGATGCAGCCCAAGCCTGCATCCCACGCACCTGCAGGCATGTTAGGGCGGCTCCACAAGGCACATTCAAGACGGTATGCTGTCTCATCCCTAAATACAAGACAGAGACCTGAACTCAAGCACCAAGAAAAAGCAAGCCAGGCCTTCTCCCACACACCGCTTTTGCTTCGTGGCTGCATGTCGCCCTTGTAGGGCGGGAGGAGAAGCAATCCTGGGTGGCGGAACCCACTCTACACCCCGGCAGACCCTTCACAGAACGGACCCCACCAAGTCGTGCAGGATCCAGCTCTGCCGAGGAGCCACGAAGCAGTGTCTGCTTGGGTGGCCGCGCCTGCTTCGCTGGATCCTCCGGCACCATTCCCCAGACGTGGTCCACGGGCAGGCCACTGCTCTCCTCACTTGGCTCACGGCGGAAGCGCAGGAGCTTTCGAAACTCATGCTCGTCCAGACATTTCACCCGCGTGATGCTGGCAGTGGGTATCGTCGGCAAAGCGGATGCCTCTGCGCCACCTACACAATCATCGTGCCCGGATTTGTGCATGCCGAAGGCTCGGGAGGCCAAGTTTGTGGCCTCGTGCTCTCCCATGGCCAAGTCACTCTTAAGTGGCACTGATGGCCCTAGCCCCAGTGTCACTATGCTTGAGAAGAGAACACCACAGGGAAGGACGGGCGGACTGACTTGTCGGCGTGCTTCAGAGCGGCGTCAGCTTCTCAAGATACCCGAACACCTGAACCCACACAACATCGCAACTGTCATGCTACACTGAAAGTGTCTGGAACCTTCAGCTGGATGGTAGTTGTGGGGCCCGTAAACGTATTTATGAACAGATACCTCAAAAGGAACCACACAAAGAAAATGAACAAACATGGGCCACCTAGTCACCCCCGACTTATGCATCTCGAAACGCAAAGCCTACCGCATCCTACCCCCAAGGGTCTCGAGCCCGACAGCGGCCTGGCCAGCGATACTCGCCTCTCTGTTGCGGAGGTGGACCTCGCTCCCGTTGACCTGCTCGTACTGGATTCTATGTAAAGGATCGCGGAAATCCACTCATTTGTGTGTTAGGGACTTAAAGTATCTTCATGCTGGCTGATTGAACTCTGACAAGAGCCACACTGTTTGAGGTGTATTCTCGGGTGTTTAGAAGTACCTGCTCGTCTCTTACTGTGGCTTCAGGGTCTATTTCGGGCTTGGGCTTGAAGGTCAGAGAGGGAGTTGGAGCATTTGGAGCACTGGGATGTCGGGCTCATGGTTCGGTGGTAGATCTCACGAAGGTTACCCTTGAAAATGCCAGAAACGGGCAGGACCACATATGACCACACCTGCTCTAGACTCTGTCCGTGTGGTGGAGCCTCAAGCCGGGCCAAGTCCTTGTTAGGAACGCCTGTAGGGGTGTTCCTTGAATAATTGAGTTCGGAAACCGAAAGCACAGTCTTTTAGAGGGACCAAAATTTGACCCCAATGCTTGGGATGCCCTACACCTGCCACCATATCTGCCCGAGGTATTGGCGAAGCCCAGCTGCGAGAGCTGCGCCGATGGAGGCCCATCGATGGGCCGATTCCCTGGCAAGATATGTAGTTGTAACTATGTATAACTATATACAAATATATATAACTTTGTATAACTATATACAACTATATATATATAACTAGATATATAATCATACATAACTTTAGATACCTATATATAGATTATGTATAACTATATATGATTGTATTATATGTACAAATGTATTCCGCCGGTGTCTTGACAGGGATAGCGTCCTGAACCCTGTCCGCACTGCACAAACGCCAAACCGAAACGAATCCACAAATTCAACCCTTAGCGACAAGGCTAGCCCCCCCGATCCCAGACCTTGACGCCTTCTGGGATCATAGGCCAAAGAGGCACTACACTGAGAAAGCCGGGAGCCTGCCTGCTGGATCAAAGGACAGCTGCTGGTCTCCTGGCCTCGGGAGGCTGCGGGTGTTGAAATCTAACACGCGGCACTGGATGGGTCCAGGGCCTAAGGGATCGGGAGCGTTTGGTGATTACAAGTGGTGGGGTGGTGGGATTAAGTCGCATCAGGGCGCGTTTGGTCACAGCGCAGATCCGCGTTTAGTCGCGTCACCCGCGTGTAGTCACATCAGAAATATCCAATCCCATAGGCACGCGGTCCGGATGTGGATTTCAACACACGTAACGACATCCATGAAAAGGCTGCTTGCCGCAGGTATTCGTGCCGATATTTTGCAGTCACATCACCTCGTTTCATCGCATCAGAAATATCGAAACCCCATATGCACGCAGTCCGGATGTGGGTTTCAGCACATGTAACGAAACGAATGAAATGGCGTGCCGCAGGTATTCGTGCCTATTTTGCAGTCACATCACCTCGTTTCATCACGGTGCTCGCGCGACCTCAAGTTATCACACATGTATTTTACCTGGTGCTGGCCCTAAGTCGCCTCACGCCGTCGAAAGTCGGATTCGTAAACACACATCCGCGGCATCACAACACATCAAAACCGGGCATTCCCGATGTAGACACTCGATTCCACAAGCACCCGTTCGAGACACAAGTGGTATCACGGCACATCAAAGCCAGCCATTCCCCATGTAGACGCTGGGTTTCGCAAGCACCAACTCGAGACAGAAGTGGCGTCACAACACATCAATTTCGCACTCAGTTCCGCAAGCACTCATTCGAGACACACGTACGTGGCATCATTGCGTTTTAGCGGAATCCCCGCTTGCACGCTGGATCGATGCGACTAAACACAACGCGATGCGACTCAACGCTTGGACTTCTGTGGGGGAGTTCAAGGCATACGGCTCTTGACCGCAGGCTGCTTCGGCTGTATACGGGAGCTTCGGACAAACAGGATATCTGGATTTTAGCAGGCAACTCATCCCCTAAACTCTAAATCCTAAAGCCAAATCCCAAACCCTTCACTCCAAACCGTGACGACCGCCCGGAGCCCTGACGCACCGAGTCTTCGAACTTTTTCTATTGCCACAACAAAACACGGATGCTTGGAGGTAAGACTTCCTTTTGGGGCACTTTTGACGCACATCCTACTTGGGATCTTCCAGTTTATTGGAACTCCTGAAAACCACCGAAGCGAACACAGCATGAGCCTGCTGAAGGCTCTGGGTGTAAATTTGGTTTGCCCAAAAGTCTATGCCCTCGGCTCAACGCCGCATCGCGTCTTCACTTCCACCTGCAGCTCCGCAAGCCTTGCATTGTGAGCTTGAAGGGCTGAAGTCTGGGATCTGCCCTGAAGAGTTCACATAGAATAAGGCTTCGGGGTTATGGCATAACTCTGTGGCGACTTTCAAGGGTTATTCTTTTGTTCTGGTTATTCTTCTGTTCTGCTCGGTTGCGGTAACAGTCATGCAGGGGAGGCGGTGGTCTCCCAAAGAGACGGAGTCAGATCGAGTCTTTTCGGAGACGTAAGCGCAGATCCAGTCAATAACGGCTACGGCTATGGCACACACACACATATACATACATATATATATATATATAATATATATATATATATGGACGACCGAGACGAAGGGACCACCCGACTCAAGAGAAGCGAGGTTTGTGGCTCACTGTCCGGAGGTCGCAGCTCTTTCCAAGGATAGCACCGAGGAGGAAGGTTCCCTTGCTTGGAAGTCGCAGTGGCCTGGGCTTTGCCTCTTAAGCGCAGTGCCCCCTGTGGCTTCAGGGGTCACCTGTGCATGAGACGTCGGTGGGCAGATCTCCGCAACACGCAACGCGGAGACTTCCCGGAACATCGATGGCATGCGAGGCAAAACAACAATTCCGGAGCAAAGTGTCCCATATGAGACAGCACAGAATGTGCGTGGGCCCCATGCATGCACCCGCAAGCGCTTACGTCGCGCAAAGGTAGCGGAGCCAACGACAGGCGCAAGGCCGCGGCACAGAAACGCCACTGAGGGGTGGGTGGGTGGGTGGGTGGGTGGGTGGGTGGGTGGGTGGGTGGGTGTCGTGTGTCTCTCTGTGTGTGTGTGTGTGCGCGGGTGTGTGTGTGTGTGTGTGTGGATGTGTGTGTGTGTGTGTGTGTTGAAACTCGCCTGATCGGTCTGAGCGAGGGCTGCATGGAAACCTTTACAGCTCTAGGATCTAGAAACCTGTTGGCACCACAACAGCCGGGACGAGGGAGGCTGCCGGGAGTAATACAATGACATCCAGTACAAAAATGTCCGACGAAATTCTTGGCAGACGCTAACTGTGACGACGGCCCTTGGGCCGCTCAAGTGCCAAAAGCACAACAAAGCGCAAAGGGTGCTGAAAGAGGGCCCGCCAAATTCCGACAACTGCTATGATGAATGAGGATCTGATTGAGGAGATGCGCTCGGATGGACGAACCGCGAAGTACAGCAAGTACACGGAGTCGGGTCCTCCACGTGGGAAGTGCGATGTCTCAGCATCCAAGTATCGGCGATGTGGTAGCACAAGGGCTGTAAGCACGGACAACAGGTTACTTTCGCTGATCATTCAGACCTCTAGAGTGTATGAGCGTGCCTAACAGGCCAAGGCGGTCCAGGGAGTTTCGACCATAAGTGTGATAAAGCGAGTTGAGCTCAACATTCGTGTGGTTGTAACTCAGACGTCGAGGTCGTCGCTTCCGCAGGATTCAAGCGTTTCAGATGGCTTTTATTCCCGGCCTGCTTGGGGAACTTGTAACGGTTGTTCTGTTGACCCTTCCAACTGGGCGTCGGGATGGGCACAAGGAGGCGAGCTGCACAGACTCGGAACGCACATGGTTTGTCGGAGAGGGGCCTGCAGTCATGAATCACTCAGCTCAAAGCATTCAGCAACATTTGGCATGCAAGCAAAATTGCCGCCAAGGAGTCCTCAGCCGTCGCTCCAAGCGCCAGAAGCTCGTCAGCAGTCCCAAACAATCCCCACTCTGACATCGAAATCCCGAAGTTTAGTTTACGAAACAGCCGGTCAGGCAAACCAAAATGTGCTCAACCTCCATCTTATGAGCCTCTGAACCTTCATGGTTATGCAGTCCAGACCCTGGACCATGCGAGCAAAACGATAAGTTTACGATAGTGATAGACGACGATGCCTAAATCGATTGCTCAAGCAGGGTGCATATGGGTGGTGGTGTTCGTGTCTCTGGTGAGTGGTGTTAACCTTGCCAGTCTCATTGACTCTATAAGCTCCGCTCCGCAAGCACTTGAAACAGAGGCCCATTAGCATAGACTGTTGCTGGGATTGTAAACCCATCAGCTAAACTCCCAAATCTTGATAGCAAATACATTGGTCTGCTTTCTGCTGAGAGCAGGGCGTAGAGCTGCTGGGAAGAACCTGACAGGCCATCTCTTCTTTCCACTATTCACTGGATTCCCCTCATAGCCGTGATACGAAAAGTCTACACTACACTACACTACACTACACTACACTACACACACACACACAGCCGCAATCCGCTTGCTCGCTGCTCCGAACTACGCGAGATCAAAAGCATACAGGTTAGTCTGGAGAGCTGTCTGAAGCCTAGGGCTTGGACAAAGGCTGGCATTGCATCCCCCGGCTGGGTGCCACTTGCTGTAATGTGCGGGCGTATTTAATGCCATG